CCACTCAGGATCGCTGCAACTGCAAACAGACCAGGCGATGAAGGAAAATCTGCTGGTTTTAAGGGCTCTATCCGAGAATATGCGCCCAGAGAATGTGCTGGTATAACTAATTCCACATTTCTTCTGTAAGGTAACGTCTCGCGTGAAAATCAGTCCTACTACATAGTGAAATAGCTGGCCTTATCTAGGCCAAATACTGGTTTTCCATCATCTCTATACTAATACCACTGGTGCTTCGCTTATTCTCCCTGGGATGAGTTTTTAGAGCTCTGAGTAATGTAATGCAACATTGCACAACACGGTGTCCCAGTGGCATGCTGTAACTACACAAACATCTGCTGAACTGAACCCACTCAGGGCCAAATTGGATAGCACAACTGATTAGCTAGAGCCTTTGGGAATATGCTCACGATTTATGTTTGTCTGAGTCACCAGCCCATGTGCAAATCACATTTTTCATTCTTCTTCCTTCTTTTAAGGTGGCGCAAGAGCATTGTTTCGAAAAAAAGTGCCACAGGAGTTTCCTTCTCCCTTCCAACTCCCCAATACTGTTTCCGTCACCAGCTTATTACCAACTTCTATCCAGCTCTGAAAAACCCACAAACTCTGTGCTTTCTGGGGAGAAAACCTGCTAACCAAAAATAAGCATTAAATGAAAAGGAACAGAAAACCTCAGATATTGCTACGAAGACTTGAGAAGCAGACCAATGGAAGAAATGGAAATAAGTTGCCATAAACGGAGAAACCGTACAATTGCCAAAGAACCTGACAATCTTGGGAATTGGGTTTGTTGTTTAAAAATAAAATACTCAGTTATTTAGGTTTTGATTTCTGTTCTGTTTTGTGTTGCAAACCAATGAACTACCTGCATCCTTTAACGTGAATTTGGCTGGGTGGGAGATACACAAAGAAAACTAGCAAAAATCATTCTCCATAGTCAGATAAGAGAAAAAGCTTTTACTATTATTCAAGCTCCAATCATGTTCTAAAACATCTCTCTCAACCTCCTGAAATCATAGACAGATGGACAGTATTAAAAATTCACATAATTCAAATAACTTTTCTTTTAAAGCTAAAAAGGCAGGTTTTTTTCCTAAAATTCTAACTACTTCCCAATTATCTGATCTGACTTCTTGATGAGATGTAATCTACCTTATAATCTACCTTTGATGAGAGACAATGACATTTTGCTATGCAAAAAATACCAAAGACAACTGGGAGATTTTCCAGGAAGTATTTAGTTATGATTTCTTAGGGTGCACCAACATTAACAGCACGTCCACATCTTTTTTCACATGCCCCAGTCATAAACTGGATTGACCCCATAGAAGACAATAAAGTCAGGGCAGTACAAAAGGCTTATAGGAGAATTAGAATTATTTTTACCTCTGCCTCTTCTTTTCTGACTACTGATTTAATAATATGTAAAAAGGATAGGAAAGTGTCCACTCTGACAAAGAGCGCCAAGACAGGTGAAACAGATTCCAGCAACAATGAAAATGGCTTTTCAACAAAATCTACTGAGCATGCTAGCACTTGTGAAAGAAGGAGAAGGTAAGTTGTTCCTAACTGAAAAAAAAAACTCGTAGAGGTACTTAGAACTCAACAACTTTGCATCATTAACACTCACTCAGTGGTTACTCACACTTGTCCCGCTTTGCTGAAGGCACCTGATTAGAAAGTCTGTTTAATCAAAGGCAGTTCTGATCATCCCGGTTAGGTATGAGTTAGGCCGAATCACTTGATGGAGATTCCCAATCCTCTCCGTTGACTTCATAGCGAAGGCGGGTCATCAAAGCAGGCAGTATGAATGCCCTCCCCAGAGCATATGAATTTTTCCTTCACCTACCGCTTTTCAAGAAGCACTAACACAGAGGCAACAAGAACGTAAGAATCCAGTCTCCAACTTCACTATTCAGAATCTACCTAGTTATAGCATAAAACTAGGTAAGGTTTCAGCCTTCACCACTACTACTGGAAGTGCATAATGAATTACTAGGATGGAACTATCACACAGGTATTAGAAAAATGATTTTGTATTACTGGGAAGCGTCAGGTTTATAAATGTTTCCTTTAACACTCAGTGACCTTGGGAGGCTCTCTATAGAATACCAGGATCCAAAAGTAATTTTTGCTTTGCTGTAGCATGCACAGCATCCACAAACGTTGCAGACACATGACCCCCCCACCCATCAAACTCGAGTGCCTGGCATAAGCATGGTTCTTAGAGGAGATTCCAAGTCCAACAAGTATTATCTCCATTACGGACATGCTAGGTAACATGGCCTAAACACACAAAGATTCCATTAATACTTGGATTTAAACAGCAAATACGAGCTACTTAATCCATACCTCAGTATTCATTCATTTCTGAATAAAACCTGTTTCCATCTGTGTATCTGCTTTCTGTAGTAGATGTGCTTGGACAGCGAATCTACCATTAGTCCATTTTAACTTACCTGGTTGCCTATGCTTCGTTTGGTGCATGACAGTATGTGATATTTTGTAGTCCAAAGTACAACATACATTGATCAACAAGTTCCACAGGCAAAAGCTTTATTATTATCTATTAAACTAAAAATTACTGTTGTTTTATTTGAGACCAATGACCCTTCTTTTGATGTTCTGGGTTAACACTAAACACAAAAACTACCAGTCTTCTAGTTAAAAGCTTTGGAAAAAAAGAAGTCAATTCAAGCGCATATTCTTTTGCACTTTGATAATACAATAATTACATTTATCAGAAACACATGCTAATTGGATCATTCTGGAGCATTTTTCTCATTGTCTGGTACCGCAGAACATCTGGGTTTTATTTCCCCTATGTAAGTTAATAAGGGTATGGACTTATTTAAAACAATAAGCAAGATAAAAACAATTTTCCAAAGTGAAAAGGGAGGAAAAAACCCTCCACGTTTCATCCGAGACTGCGCAAGTGTAAAAATGACTTTAAGATAGAAACTGAAGGATGTTTTCTATCTACTCGGCTGTTAGTGAAGAAAGAAAAGAAAAGTTAAAGAAATCTTATTACTGTGGCTATACATAAGAAACAGTGCAGTTAAATATGTCATATTAATGGAACCTAATAAGGGACGTCTCCCCCACCTACGCAGATCCAAATCAGGATGATTTAAAGTGCCAATACATTGGCACTAGAAGATGTCGAGCTGCTTCTTGTTACTAAATCCCTAACTCGGGAGAACTGGAAACTTTCAAGCTTTTTGCTGGAGCATAGGGGATGTTGACACCTTCCAGATTTCACTTTACTGGACCAACCCACAGACAGTATGGTGCAAGGGAAGAGCAGATGGCTTTTCTTCTGTTACCTCTGCTTCCTAAAGATGAAGCTGAACATTGTTCTTAAACCATGCATATTCAGCTCCTGCTATAAGGAGAACAAGGCTTATCTATATATGTTAAAGCCTTCCATCCTATATTTGTCCCATTCCAGAGCATGTCTGTATATGTTCATATGATTTGAATTTTAAGTGTCCAGACAAAGAAAAGCAATTCGCTCTGAACTATGGAAAGACATTCAAGTTTTAGTCTTAGCGCAAAATAAACCTTGAGCCATTTGATATTATTTTTCCCTGCATCCCCTCCCTCTTAAAAATACATATGACACAAAGCAGGGGAAGTGTGGAAAAAAGTAAACCAGGTTTTTCCTGTTTCACAACTTACCTTACACTGATCTGGGCTTTGGTATAATTAGAAAAACTACCACAAATCTTTTTCCAAATGATAAAGCTATTTTCAAACCTTACTACTGGCAGAAGTACGAACATTCAGTTTGTGCAGAAGTCCAACGTAAATCCAGCAGGACACGACATTTCTCCAGGTATCAAGCAATTTTTGTGCTTGCATTTTACACTTTGCATGTGAGGTCACACGTACACAGTTTAATCCCATAACTTTCTTACAGGATCACAGACCTCTATGAAAAAAGACTAAATTTCACCATGTACTAATGGAAGAAAATTACTCTCTGGGAAGCTGACAAGAGAGCAACAAAGTTTTTCCATCATGTAATCAAATACTATATAGTTTTCCCCAGAGTTTGATGAAAAGATAAAGGCAGGCTTTGATTACACTATTAACTATATAGAGCAATGCTATAGAAGAAGTCTCACTGCAATTTACCCACCTGTTTTTGGACATACATAATGCTCTATTTCTCCTACAGATATTATAAAGGCAGAGACGACATGCTTGGAGAATACAGTGTAAGTTACAAGTGAAACAGGGTATGAGCAATTTAAATACAAATCTTGGAGGAAAATAAACAGTGCATTGGATTGACTGGAAAACATTTTTTACTCCCAAACTTACCTGTGCAAGTAAAAGGTATATTGATGAATGTGGGAATAAACAGATAGAAAGGTATGAATATAGACTGTTAAATCAATAAAGAGGCATACAAATAAATAACAAAAAAAGAGCGATCAATCATCAAACCAGCTGGGGCCTGATCCTCTTTTCTCATGATGTAACATGTAAATCTAGCACAAATACAAGTACAGCTGCGTTTTCCAAGATCATCTGTGAGACATGGGGCTTTTAACCAACAGGTAGAAATCACTGTGTCATGTTCTCCAAGCTGTGGTACATAGGATATGAAACAAGACTGCCGTAGTGGGCTCTTTAAAGTCTACGAATCAATGAGAACTGGTACGAGGGGAAATCAAGACCCTACCATCTCAGTTAAAGAGCTGGTAAGACCATGTTTCATTTTATTTGCTATCATTGTGTAAATTAAATACTGTTGGAATTTATGTAGTCATTAATATGACACCTGATTAGTTCAGGAAAACATTGTCCACCGTGTCTGAAATATTACTTACAATGCATTTGTGGAGGAAGAAATAGAAAAAAATAAGTTAACCTATTGGGCAGACTGAGATTGGTTATGTATGCTTGTTTCCATATGATAAGGCACTTTCATTTCAGGAGTAATGCTATGCTGTTCAGAGGCACATGTGTTAAAGTTGAGATACACTTACAAAGTAGCCTGTTCCCAAACTGGAAGGAGCTGAGCTCTGCAATAAAACACAAAGACAAAGTGGAAAGTCAGTGATGGTTTTTAACACGCTCCAGTCCACATAGCTCATTACCAGCCCTTTCCAAGCTTTTCATCACTACATCACAGCACCAATGTGCTGCCCCTTGTCATCTGCTACTGAAACAAACACGGTGTTGCTTAATTTTTCCCTTTACATCTCTCAACGACTCTGAGATGGTAACGTGCTATTTACTGAATTCCAAGCTTCTGCAGTGGACGTAATTGCCAATTTATTTGACAGGCAGCTGGGTAATGAATTAATGATGGCATTTCGCCCTGCACTGAGACTAAACAGACACTCATCAACCAGCCTCCCTGACATGCTGACATTCAATGCCCTGGACTCCAGCTACTCAGCTTTGTGGCCACAAAGGGGCAGGCAGGAGGGGGAAAAGAAAAAAAACATAGTCTGACTTCAAAACAAAAAGCCCGGTGGGTTTGGATGACTTTTTCAGTGTATGACCTGTTTGCCAATTTATTCCCGAAAGGCCCTGGTTAGTACACACATAGTGCTTTTCTAAAATGAGACATTTTGTAAACATAATTAGTAGTCTGAAATGTAAAAAACGCGTGGGCACAGAGAAGCCGCTTCAGTCAATGTACCATTTCCTGGAGAATGCAGTCACTACAATTTCCCATTTGGATGTCCACATTGTTTGACAAACCAAGGATTTAAGAAGAAAAGAAAAAAACAAACAACAAATATCTACAGCATGAAATAGATCTCAAAACTCAAACCCATAAAAATAATTAAAACTAATATTACTACAATGGAAAATAATCAAAAGGTTTAAATGCTTAAAAAAAAAAAAAGGATCATGAAATTCAGTTTAAGTGGGACACGATCACAACCTCTACATTCACAGGAATTAAGGAGATAAAGGGGTTTGTTTCATTAGTTTTTCATCTAAGCAATGGGGATTACACAGCAGGTTCTCTTAGAGACATGGTGAGAGACCTAAACAACTCAGTCCTAATCCAGGTCACTGGCTGTTCTATCAAAGGGTGAACAGTTCCCAATGCTACAGCCCTATCACCTGAAACACTTCAAGCCAGGCTAGTCCATGGACAAGGAAGCAAAATGCAGAGGATAATTCTCTACTGAGCAGTGGGGAGTCCAGATGACCAGTCTTTAACTCCTATAGCTCAATTCCTGTTTCTGTCCTTAGCACAACCTCACTTTCAGTAATGACAGAGCTCAGTGATTACCAGGAACTGCACAAGGGCCCCAACCAGCCCTGGCAAACCATTGGAAACACGCAGAATTTGCATCCCTGCCATCCCTGTTCTGAGACGCTATTGCAGGGAACCCTAACAGCAAATTCTATCAATTTCTGATCATGGAGAGCAGCACTGACATAAAGCAAAACAAACCCCCACAAGGGGCTTATGGTATCTTTTTACTGAACTTGGCACGACAGAAAAAGATTGTGCCAAGAAATTTAAAATTAACAACAAAATGAATTGCAAATAATCAGAATATTACTGTGTGTTCACCAAAGCACTACTAAAAAGAGAGGTTTAGAGAGGTTACGTACATATAGGCAAAGGCCTTCTGGTTTAAGGCATTAGAAGTTAAAGACGTAGTAAGAGGAAATCATCTTGGTAGTCATAAGGGTAGCAATATCATAAAATGAATAAATTCTGTTGGGACATCTTATATGAACAAACAAAACTGCTACGGAAATTTGGAAGGTATGTGGTTCCTGCCTCTTAATACTCTCTATCTTACATGTTGCGGCTACTGAAATACTCGAGATCTGCAGTCTACAAATTTGGTTATCAGTGTGCAAGGGGAGTTCCACAGAAATAAATAAATGCCCAAGTCCTTCTAGCCCCAACTCTTGCTGCTCTGGGGCCTCAAGCTCCCTCTGCCACCACCATCCGCACGAAGGACCACCTGGCGCCCGTGACGACATCCCTGAAAGCACCTCTGCAGCGGCATCACACTGTGGTGCAGAGGAGTGGGCAGTGCAGGTTTGGGAACACATGGCCACGAGGCCCCTGGGCTCAGCCCCACTGCTCTGCTTTCCTTTACATCCCCGTGAGCACGCAGCTGGGAATAACCTGGTCACTGCCACAGCCCCAGTCATCACACAGCCCAGCAACTGTTTCCAGATAGAAAGTCCCCTTCGTGGGCCACATACAATGGTTCTGTGAGCCACTGCAGCCTGTAGACTGCAGCTCTGCAACACCTGGTAGCGGGTGCATTTCAGCACACTCCAGTTTAGTATCTAACGCATTTACTTTCCCAGTAAAGCGTATCATATATACTGCCTTTCACTTTACTCATTCTGCTTTCTGTTTCATGCCATTTAAATTCTTCTAATTTGAGTTAGCGATCTACCCACAAAGTACAACACGTGCAATAATTATTACCGCTTTTGTTTAAGTTATGTACAGATGCCAGTCGAGTCCCGCTCTTCACTCACAATTTTTAAAACTTACTTTACAGGCTGAAAGCTCCAAAGTTTGCATTCTGCATCTGCGTGTAATTTTTGTCTGCTTTTTATTCCAAGATTTGGAAGGATCAAGTATCACAACAAAACAATAAAAAGGAAGAAAAAAGAATAAGCCAACAAAATATTTCCCGCTGAATGTTTCCATTCCTTCAAAAGCAATGCTGCAATGGCTATGGGAAGACAGTCGAAACATAGCAGTCAAATGACTTCCGCTGAAAAGAAACAACTGTGCATTTTCAGGGAATTTGAGTTTGCTGGATGGAAATATAGCCCTTCACACACTGCATGCTGCATATGGATAGTACAGTTCGCATACTTTTTAATTGAAGTAAGAAAGACTGTATTGCACATGCATGAATGACTAAGTCAGCTGTGTTGTGAACTGTGTTGACAGAGCAGATAGGCTGAAGCAAGGGCTATGCAAGAAGACAGCTTCTCACCTTTTTTGATAACTCCCAATAGCGAAAGGATCCTACTACCCAGTGCCCAGCCTTGGTACCAACTGATGAATGTGATACTGTGTATGCAGCATCTTTACAAGCCCATGCTGAGTCGTGATCCTGCACTGGATGGTTCTACATCTCTTATATAAAGTGTGCCTATAATAGAGGTAATGGTTTCACTTTCCGAAACCCTTTGCAAAATTCGACATTAGATATACTATTTGATATTCACACAACCACCAGCAGAAGCCTGCATGAGGTGCCCATCAGCAAAATGCAAGTCACTTGCTTAAAATTAACCGGGTTTTGGTTTTGTTATTTTCCTTCTGCCCCCCCCCCCCCCTTTTTTTTTTCTTTTTTTTTTTCCTTCCTTTCTTAAAGAGAAGAACTTTTGGTCCAGGAAGAAAAACGTAGTAACCCTCGTGTAAGCATTGGTTTATTGTGTACCAAAAAAAATTACATCCTTGAGGTCTTGGAAGGCAGAGTTATACCCATTTTGCATATATATTGTGCATCACTTGGGGAGCTGGGTGGAGAGAAAGACTGCGTTGTACATATTTGTTCTGGCTATTGTTTATGCAGGTCTGACTGAATGAAGGAACAGTGGGTATCATTTCAATTTCTGATGTCAACATCAAATTACTTATTTAATTTCATGCCTGGCGAAGCATTGTATAGCTACACGCAGAATCATTTCACTTCATTTGTTATGCTGTGTTTTCTTGGCGATTGGCTTGCCTTCCAACTGACAGCTTTAATTACGACATGAATTTGATTGCACTGCTGAGGAATTAACATAATGCAACAAAGCATTTAAGCACCCAACCTTAGACACACAAACACATACATACACACCCTCGCATACACACACACACTCTGCAGCGGATCAGCTTCTGGCACACACATACACACACACACAGAGCTTTGCTGGTGTTATTCCACTTTAGACACAGCAAAGATTACCAGGGATACTCTGGAGAAGGAAAAGTACTACGGATTTCAGAGCACATAACCCAAAGACTGTTCCTCAATGCATCTTTCTTGGAGCTCAGTACACAGGTGGGAGGAATGGTAGACAGGGAATTGAAAATATCCCATATTTGAGGTCAAAGCCGTGAGCTGTCCGCATGATTACACTGCTGGGGGTGTAGACACCTTTCTTCCCAAAGCAGACTGCAACAGACCTGGTGGACAGGGCACTCCAGGACTTACTCCTCATTTGATACCTCGCTGTAACCTATTTTCCAGCACAAGGTACACAACGCAGTAGGAGCACATAGCTACAAAGCACTGGGGAAAGGGAGAGTGTGTCAGCTTTGCTGAGAGCCCAAGACAAGACCTTTCATGCAGGGGACAAACAGAAAGATTCCTGTCCCACTCCCTGTTCAAGAATCAGAATGATATTCCAGACAGAAAGATGCCAGTGGTATTTTTCCTGGCTTCTGCTGTGCAGCAAGAGTGGGAGACCTGTGCTGCCTCCCAGCCGATGACACAGGTAAGAGGCTTTTACTATTCATCCCTTCACTGGACGCCTGCAACCAACACCAGAAGCAGCAGGCAGGGCTGAGGGTGCCCAAAGCAGCTTGTCAGCCCCCTCCCATCAGCGCAGCCTTGCCCTGCCACTGCATCGCCATGACCGAAACGATGAGCAAGGTTTGTTTCACAGACATCATATTTTTAACAGGACTAGCAATAACTTTACAGCTGAGTGTGAGCTTCAGTTCTGTGGTAGATCAGCAATGTAAGAATGTGCACTGAAGAAATCAGGTTTTTTGGTTTGTTTTTGATTAGCGAAGAGGTGGCTGAACCCCCGAATACTCTCTGAGTTTACCACCCAGGTTAGCTGTAATTCTCACATTTTCCTCAAGTAATCTCCTGGCCGCTTTGTAAAACATGGCTAAAAAATACCCCATGTATTCCAAAGTGGGAAGACTCCATTAAAAACAAATACATACAAAAAGGTAAGGAAAACAAGTTGACTGAGTCCAAGCTGAGGAAAAGAGAAAGCGCTGCCATCTTGTCTCCAAGCAAAATCTCAACAAAATGAATTCTACTACTGGCAAGATTTTGACGAGATTAAATTGACTACAGCACCCTATATATAAAGGAGGAGCAGCTCTCCAATTTCTCTTTTAGGCCCCTGGAGCTACCTCTGCCCATAAAGGAAAAAACAAGTTGTCATTCCAAAAAATACTATATAGGGGAGAAAGGCAGAAAGAAATGGGTTTATGAAATTCATATGGGGAGATGTATTAGGGCACTGTCAAATGCCTGCAATGGAGCATTCGAGCAATCATCATCCCTAATCTAGCAGAGGTCAAGTTCTCTGCTAATTATGTTCTCTCGCAGAGGGGTGTGTGCGCGTGTGTACACGTGTGCGACATGAGGACAAAAGAGTTGATGGAAATCGGTCTCACTGGATTGCATCTGACAAGAGCATAGGAAATTCCTCTTCCTACTGTCTGAGGCTATTTCAAGCCTCATTATGAGCAAAGTCTCCTGTTTAACATGGTCTTTTCATTGAATTATCTTCTTTTCATTTTTGACCACCTCTCTCGCAAATGCTGCAAATTACCTGCTTGGATCTCATTAGCCTGGAAAGGAGTCATCCCTTGTAAACACACTTGGCATGAATCTGCGTTATCCAAGGACTGTAGGTACATTTACAATATGCAGCGTTGAAAGATATCTGACAGGAGAGGGAATGAAGCCACTGGCATGTCAGTTTGCAACTGGATATTCATTATACTATCTCCCTCGTTCTGCATCTGTCACTAAGCTATCACTTAGGCTCCAAGTTAAAGCTCATGAACCTAACATTTCTGTTTCAACAGCTTACTTAGAACTAGGGATTTGAAAATTGATCATCCACCTCGAGTATATGCACTTCATTCATTATACATATTTCCATGCAGTAGCCATGCTTAATCTTACGATGCTGTCGGGCTACATCAGTGGAGATTCATTATATTTCATGTCCAAAATTTGCTTTCTGACCTCAGGGTTAATCTGCCTGCAATATTTTATATTTTTGTTCTATCTTCTGTTGAGTACGCAACTTTTTGCATATTTCTTCCGAGAAAACAGTGTTAAAATCAGAACTCGATCTTCAGAGAAAACTTAAGTCTTTTGTCTCTAGTTTTTTTACGGACAGTAATTGGTAGATATCATTAGACAACTCACTCCTTCAAAAGATATTATTTAAAATAACCTTATTAAGCTTATTAACCTTATTGATGCATCTTTGTGCACAAAAGGACAGTTCAAGGCAGGCTCACCCACAAATGGAAGTGGAAGTATCGCTACTGATTTGTAAGGCCCCATCATTTAAAAACACGGGGTGTTTGTCTTCGGGAGAGAGAGAAACACAGAATGGTATTTACTTTTCTTAACTGAAAGAGTCTGGGAAAGGCCACCACACACTCAGGCAAGATGAGAGTTCTCTCGTGCACGTTTTTCAAATCTCAGCTGAACTGGCAACACCAGACCACAGAGAGACATGCTTGTATTGCAATGAATTATCAAAGCATAAAGGAACTCACTTATTAAGCAAAACATAAATTATGTATAATGATTTTTAAATATACATTTTCACATATATTTACATAACGTTCCTTTCAAGCAACCTGTGAATCCCTACGTCCTCTCTCTGGTGCACTAGGGAAGTTATATTTGCTCTCCACTTCCTTTTAATTCGCCACAGTGCAAAGACAAAGGGAAAGTATTGTAAAAACATCAGAGAAAAACTGTATTTGATTGGTGGAAGGGGAACCAGGTCTCTGCTCTCACTGCCAGGTCTGGCACTGCAACTCTGTGAGCTGCTGGGAAGCTCAAATAAGGCTCAGAGCTCTCCACTGACTACACTGCAAGGGAGTGACAAGGCTAAATTAAAACCATGCTTATAAGGAGCTGTGAAATTTTTTGCTGGAAGGTGCTGTGTAATTGTGAAGTTCATCGCAGCGACTCCTCAGCTGCCATAGGGCTCAGAGCAAGCGAGGATGGCAACAGTGACAGGCTGACGGTCAGCTGCCATCCACTGCTACCTGTACTGAGCATTCACTTACTATCTCCTCTGGTTTCAGTCTCCTCTTCCAAAGATATCTTACAGCACTGCACTGAGATTGACCTCACCCCACAGCTACGACGGGCAGGCTCTGAGATGTCTAACTGAACGTACCCATAAAGGTTGGCTCTGGGGGAGGAACGGACCTCTAAAATAATGTGACAAAGGGATGAGGAAAGAGAGTGCTACAGATTTCACACCTTCACAGACAAAAAAAAAAAAAAAAAAAAAAAAAAAAAAAAGGCGGCCCTTCCAGGGAAATAAAAAAATCCAA